TTGTGCTAAATTGAGTAGATACATAATGTTACAAAAGATGTCTATTTTAAATAATTGCTGTTCTTTTGAACTTCCTATTCCTTAAAGAATCCTGCAAAAATGTATCATGATTTCAACAAAAATATTAAGCAAAAACTATTTTTAACATCACTAATAATAAGAACCATTATTAATGGCTGTGTACCAATAATAACTGATAATAATTGAGCACCAAATCAGCATATTAGAATGATTTCTGAAGGATCATGTGACACTGAAGTGACACTGACACTTTAAAAAAAAATACAGCCTTGTTGTAAAACTTAATTATTCCAAACTTTTGACTGGTAGTGTATACAAACATGTTTGTCCCACAGTTAACCAGAGGAAATCTAGCACAACTTGGCACCAAGCACGATGCAGTCGGTTTTGTTCAGTCTCAATCTAGAACATCAGAATTGATAATAGTGATAGTCATTTTGAATTTTTAGTTAAAAAAAGGAATGAAATATGTGTGAAAATGGTTGTCTGATCAAAAGATGCATAGCAGAAATTTTGACCTCACTGTATCTAAATAGCAAATGATTGAGTAGCACTACTGATTGCTGGTGTCAGTGGGGTGAATGACACAAAGTCACTGTGCATTTTGAATGGTTATAGTCTCAATTCTCAATTCAATAGATCAATTTTCAATTCAATAGTCTAATTAGGCAATATCGCGTTCATAATCGCAGATGAATCGCATTCGATTATGAACACGATATCGCCTAGCTTGTCAGTGATCTACGGCTAGGTGTAGTAAATGCCGCTCCATCTGAAAGCAGGTGATGGCGATTTACTACTAATCACGGAACCGGCTTTACTGACGAGATGCGCATGACAATGTGATTAATTGCACAGCCCTACTTAAAAGTCAAGAATGTCCCTGACAGCACATTTTATGGGTAGTGCACAATTAACGTTTGATCCTAATAGGCCATGGGTAAAATTTGCAAATAGATACTGTATGATATATAGGCCTACTCTGTAGCTGACATTTTAGCACCTCACTGAAAGCAGCTGGATGGGCATGGATAGAATTGAAGCATTATCAGTGTAATTCTCACTAGCGGGCAGTATTATTGTTTGTCCATACTCACTTACGTGTTTAGTACTGCCCATTCCTAATACTGGAATGACTTCTTCTAATTACACAATTACCTGAAAACTGACATTACTAATGATTGTTTTGCTTGCTTCCACCAGGCTGTCCAGCGGGGCGTTCAGGACTGCCCCATTTGCCTGAACCGCTTGGGCTCAAACAACAGCTCGTCTAAGGAAGACAGGAATGTCCTATTATTGTCCTGTTCCCATCTCTTCCATGAACCCTGTCTGCAGGCCTTTCTTTTCTGCCATGAGGTGAAACCCACACGCCCTCTCTGCCGGTCACACTATGCTAAAATGCTGGTTTCAAATTAAAGCTCAGTGTATTTATTAGATAGACTTGGTGTTCTATTTATTTCCTTAATGAGACAAATTAAACTTCTCCCACAACACAGTGAAAGGCTTCATTTGTAATTCTACATCACCAAAGAGTCCAAAAAAAAGTCACAAACTTTATTGTAAACTGAAGTGGAATACAAAGTAAACTAAAGACAATCTGAACATTTTGCTTCAACTAAACTCTACAAATACAAGAGAATACATTCTGAAACAACATTCACACAAGTAAAAGAAGCTACAGGCAAAAATGGAAACAGAATTAAGCTTTCCCTTGGAGCTGAGGATGAGAATTCAAAGGAGGCCGACAGACATTTATGATGAACAAACAAGCTGTTTGGTGTGTAGACAGGACACTTTCTACTGAAACGCTGTTCAATAGACTGATGAACTGAAAATATCCAGCATCCTTGACGTACTACATTTTTTGTAATAATGTTGTATAGGTGATGGGAGGAGGATTGGAAAGAGAGATGAACAACAATCAGATCAAGCAGATTATAGAATATGGAATGAATAGGCTTCTTTTTCTTTCACAGTTAATTCTAGTACATCACTGCAAATGCCTCTATTTTGAGAAACCCAACACACCAACTGACACGCCGGTCCTTGTGCTGCATAAAGTAACAGCAGCATATGTTAAAAAACATTTAAATTAAAGCCAAAGAGTAGAATTTAGTATTATATAGTTAATAATGACATATGTTCTGGCATTACAAAATTTGTGCAGACAAAAGTGACATTAAAGTTTAATACACACACACACACACACACAAATAGATTACTTCAATGACACAATTATTGACATAATACACTCATTCCCCATATATTTTCTTACAAAATATTCTTTGTGCAAATCAACAGGAAGAAAATATATTTTACATGTAACTTTTTTTAAATCCATGAAAATAAAAACACCAAAACAGTCCATCAAACTGAACCACAGAACCCACTGAGGAGTTTTAAATGACATTTTCACAGGTTTTGAATTCAGTGTCCCTCATGTGAATCTTTGAACTTTGCAGACACAAAATCCAATCTGATTCTTGCCCAAACATTAATATTCCATATCAGTACCCTGACAGTATTTTTTTTTTTGCATTTGGCCAGTTCCAGTTCAACGATACGCCCTGTCGTTTTGGTATGCCATGTTATTGACAATCACAAGAGGGATTCACAGTGAATTAGTCAATAAAAAGGTACACACGCTAACAATCCGTCTCACTCTTTCACTCATTTGCACATCTCACACATGCACAACTTGTCTCCTCAATACTGGACAACAGGAGACAAAAACAAAAGCCCAGAAAGCCTGTTTAAGGCATCAGAGGTGATTTTTTTTTTGGTTTGTTTGTTTTTTACAATAAACAAATGCTGAGCGACTAATTGTCTGGTCTTTTCCACAAATAGCATAGTATGAATGAGGCTCAAGAGCTGTTTCATATCTACATTCTACAAAAATAAAAAGAGGAAATATACTGTATATACATTTAAATACATCATTTACATTATAATGAGGCTTGCCATAGTGAAAGAGATGAACAGTGAAGACTGAACACAGGATGTCTGTTCAGCTTTATATAAAACCTTAAGAGAGAAATGTCAGGAATGGCCGAAACGGATTTCTTCATGTTCTTTTAGCCTGTTGGGTTTGTCGTCAGAATGGGAATGTTTGGAAACTACACTGAACATATTGTACATTAACGGTGTAATCAGTAACTTTTAGACAATATTAAAAAGAAAAGGGAAAAAAATGCTTCTCTGACTGTATTTCATAGCTACAAAGGAGACCCTTCAATGAGTCGTGCTGCTTTCTTACATGCATAATGACAACTGACTCCGCTCGGACTTCACATTCATTTCACCGCACAATAAGCTTTAATAGGTGTGAATCAGACTGATGTGACTCTGCAGTCCTGTTTTCACAGCCTTTATATACAAGATCCTACATAATGTACGAGTTTAGCCTCTGATCTGTGTAGACCGGTATTTCATTAGACTGAACAGGCTGAGCTGGCTTAAAATCCAGCATGAGAGCGAGTGAAAAAGCTTACAAATATCTATGTTCACGGATAATCTGCCATTTGCAAAAAGCAAAGCAGCTGCAGAGGAAGGCTGTTTTGCTAGTGATGCTGAAATAAGGCAAATATATAGATCCCCACAAGCTCTGCAGCAATAACCAAGTTCAAAGGATGTATGTTATTGGCTATATGCTCTCAGTTTGCGTAGTACATGTAGCATAGTATAGTATCAAATGTTGTGGAGGAAGTAGCAGCAGATTTAAGTAGAGGAACAGGAAGCATATCCCAAGATTGTGCCTCACCTTCTCCCAAATATTTGGTGCATTTTACTACTAAGACAAAAAAAGCTGCATTTCTTTGCTGTCATTTAAATGTGATCACCTTCCTTATTCAAGACGACGATTCAATCCATTAAATGTGTTAAATCATTGAGGTGATATTAGCAAGATTGACATATGTTCTGGCATTACAAAATTTGTGCAGACAAAAGTGACATTAAAGTTTAATACACACACACACACAAATAGATTATTTCAATGACACAATTATTGACATAATACACTCATTCCCCATATATTTTCTTACAAAATATTCTTTGTGCAAATCAACAGGAAGAAAATATATTTTACATGTAACTTTTTTTAAATCCATGAAAATAAAAACACCAAAACAGTCCATCAAACTGAACCACAGAACCCACTGAGGAGTTTTAAATGACATTTTCACAGGTTTTGAATTCAGTGTCCCTCATGTGAATCTTTGAACTTTGCAGACACAAAATCCAATCTGATTCTTGCCCAAACATTAATATTCCATATCAGTACCCTGACAGTATTTTTTTTTTTGCATTTGGCCAGTTCCAGTTCAACGATACGCCCTGTCGTTTTGGTATGCCATGTTATTGACAATCACAAGAGGGATTCACAGTGAATTAGTCAATAAAAAGGTACACACGCTAACAATCCGTCTCACTCTTTCACTCATTTGCACATCTCACACATGCACAACTTGTCTCCTCAATACTGGACAACAGGAGACAAAAACAAAAGCCCAGAAAGCCTGTTTAAGGCATCAGAGGTGATTTTTTTTTTGGTTTGTTTGTTTTTTACAATAAACAAATGCTGAGCGACTAATTGTCTGGTCTTTTCCACAAATAGCATAGTATGAATGAGGCTCAAGAGCTGTTTCATATCTACATTCTACAAAAATAAAAAGAGGAAATATACTGTATATACATTTAAATACATCATTTACATTATAATGAGGCTTGCCATAGTGAAAGAGATGAACAGTGAAGACTGAACACAGGATGTCTGTTCAGCTTTATATAAAACCTTAAGAGAGAAATGTCAGGAATGGCCGAAACGGATTTCTTCATGTTCTTTTAGCCTGTTGGGTTTGTCGTCAGAATGGGAATGTTTGGAAACTACACTGAACATATTGTACATTAACGGTGTAATCAGTAACTTTTAGACAATATTAAAAAGAAAAGGGAAAAAAATGCTTCTCTGACTGTATTTCATAGCTACAAAGGAGACCCTTCAATGAGTCGTGCTGCTTTCTTACATGCATAATGACAACTGACTCCGCTCGGACTTCACATTCATTTCACCGCACAATAAGCTTTAATAGGTGTGAATCAGACTGATGTGACTCTGCAGTCCTGTTTTCACAGCCTTTATATACAAGATCCTACATAATGTACGAGTTTAGCCTCTGATCTGTGTAGACCGGTATTTCATTAGACTGAACAGGCTGAGCTGGCTTAAAATCCAGCATGAGAGCGAGTGAAAAAGCTTACAAATATCTATGTTCACGGATAATCTGCCATTTGCAAAAAGCAAAGCAGCTGCAGAGGAAGGCTGTTTTGCTAGTGATGCTGAAATAAGGCAAATATATAGATCCCCACAAGCTCTGCAGCAATAACCAAGTTCAAAGGATGTATGTTATTGGCTATATGCTCTCAGTTTGCGTAGTACATGTAGCATAGTATAGTATCAAATGTTGTGGAGGAAGTAGCAGCAGATTTAAGTAGAGGAACAGGAAGCATATCCCAAGATTGTGCCTCACCTTCTCCCAAATATTTGGTGCATTTTACTACTAAGACAAAAAAAGCTGCATTTCTTTGCTGTCATTTAAATGTGATCACCTTCCTTATTCAAGACGACGATTCAATCCATTAAATGTGTTAAATCATTGAGGTGATATTAGCAAGATTGACCGGCTGGTCGCAACATTCCTAAACGCAACCAATTCAAGTAAACACAATAACATGTTAAGCTGGTTGTTGGTAGTGGCTCGAACCCAAAATTCTGTCACATCCAACAAACCTGAACTGTCACAGTAAAGCATGAGGAAATTAAAATCATAATGCTTCCTCATTTATAATAGATAACCTTATAAATACAACAAAGTGAATGTAAACATATGCAATGGCAGACAAAGAATAACAAGTTTTCAGATCACAAAACTTACTTTACACATCAAAATTCAAGCAATATATTTGACAGCTATGGACCAATGCTGACAATGAAACTTTTAGAGTATTCATCATCGTGATTGGCCATCACATTTTGCCCCATTTGCCTAAGAACCAGTTAATTTGGCATTAAAACATCTGTAACTTAACTTGAGTTTAAATGTTCAGCTAGACTCACTGCAATGCTTTCTTTCCCAGTGTTAAATTTGACCATTCTGCAATTCTTAATCGAATATAGTTTCTTATATTAGTACTCATATCACATAAAGGTAATAAAGGTCTCTTGACAATATCACTGTATATGTTTATATGTCATTTGTGTGTTGTTTTTAGGGGAATTGTTTTTATGGGCCTCAACCTGTTTCATCTAAAAGTTCCATTTAACTTTAGAAAATGTTGTTAAACAATAATTGCCCTAACTGAGACTAAATTTCATTACACGTGACATTATCAGCTTGGCATATTTCCCTTGATCAAACTAGGGAAAAATTATAGATGATAAAAATAATAATAATAATAATAATCCCTCATTGAAAGGTGCAGTCAGGAGGTCTTTTAGGTGTGCAGGTCAGCAAGAAAAGAACATTTTCTCACTTAAGAGAATTGGCATGAAAGCATTTACAAGCTGAACAACAAAGACTGCAAACCCAATTGAAATCATTGTGAATCTCAGACTGGTTATAGCTGGAAGCATTCTGCAGGGAGTTTGAGTTTCAAATGAGAGATGGACATACACTGCATGTCGGGTGACTATGAGTCCAAACTCTTCAACATTTTTTTTGTGTGTTTTTTTGATGTTCTCTGATGTTATATCACTATACTCTTAAAATGAAAAAGTCAACTGAATACACATACATGAGTTTGTGTGAGGATGACTGGATTTTGTTCTCACAGAGTTTTCTGATGACCGTTGACAGCATGTTTCCCTGACTCTGCATCTGTCGGACTGTTGGACAGATTTAATTTATCCAGACCTGAAACCAAAGAGATAAGCATTTGAAACATTTGGATGCTTTGACTCTCGTAGACAAATAATATGGCATTTCAGAACTAAAACTCCAGTATGCATTGTATGCACCATTATCAGTATGCCCTGCTAGTGAACTGCCCTGAATATATAGACACAAAGACATGAGCATAAAAAGAGTACAGAACGCGATTGTGGAAAATGTAGACCAGAAAGAAATTTGGAGATTTAATTACAATATAAGAAGTGCTAGCAGAATGGCGTTGGGCAGAATACATTACCGAGGGCTTTGAGGAGTTCCTCTCGCACAGCAGATGTGAATTTTCGGACCAGACACAATGTGGTTACCACGGCAAACAGAAGATTGTACGAAAGTACGATGTAAAAATTTCCAAGCCAATTAAATCGTCCAAAATCACCCAGGAGATCAAACCTTGTTATTCCTGCAGAAAGCGAGACACAGAAAAACGGTCAATTCTCAGATTCCCTATTTTTTTTTGCATACAGTGGGTGGGAGTTTCTTGAAAGGATTTGCCATTTTAAACTCACTGTCAATGTCTCAAGCATAAATAGAAAATAGAGTGAAGAAATGGGGAGGTGTATGGTTGGAAAGAAAGGATTGAAAGAGCATGTAAGGGCTCATGATGAAGACATGATAAAAAGAAAGACACTTAAAGGACCACAGCTCCATCTCAATCAGATTACACAACAACATAAAGTATCTTTTTCCCACATCCTAGATAAGCAAGTCTCCCATTTACCATCTGCTTTCATATTTCAGTTAGAATGAAGTTTGTTTATTGTCGTCAGACAAAACTGATTGGGAATAAAACATTCTTTCTGAAACAAAACGTACAAGTTGCACTCTCATTTTTATGACTAAATGTTCCATGGCCACAGGGTGCATGTGCACATTCAAATGAAATGGTATTTGTACAGCATAAAAATCTGAAATTTGAGGAGTGTGTTGCCAAACAAGTGATTACCTAATTTAATCGAACTGAATACATAATGTTTTGCAATTTGACCTGAATTAACACACAGGTCATCACTTTATCACTTCACACTACCAGAATATAAACTCACTGTCAATGTCTCAAGCATAAATAGAAAATAGAGTGAAGAAATGGGGAGGTGTATGGTTGGAAAGAAAGGATTGAAAGAGCATGTAAGGGCTCATGATGAAGACATGATAAAAAGAAAGACACTTAAAGGACCACAGCTCCATCTCAATCAGATTACACAACAACATAAAGTATCTTTTTCCCACATCCTAGATAAGCAAGTCTCCCATTTACCATCTGCTTTCATATTTCAGTTAGAATGAAGTTTGTTTATTGTCGTCAGACAAAACTGATTGGGAATAAAACGAAATACACAGACGCTTATAAAGGATAGTGTACACATGCAGGTAAGGAGGACCTTACCAAGTGTTCGGGACATGACAGGCAAGGCCGAGCTCAGCACTAGAATGGATACACAGCAACCAATGATCTAAAAGAAGAAGAAAAAACAAGACTAAGAAACATTTCCACCATTCCAAATTAAATGTATGATAAAAGATCCCATAGTTGATGGGTAAAAAAAAATTGAATGCACCACGACCACATTATTTTGCAAAAGAATAATAGATTTTAAAAAGTAAAATAAAACAATGCATATCCTTGAACTGCTTTACATTAAGTACAAAATATTATAATGCAATAATACATATTCTTTAATTGCGAGGTTAGACCTT